ATACGTTTATCCTCTCCGAAAAAATTAATGACATTATAAAATTTTGCCAAAATTTTATAGAATAACATACACCTACACTTGTGGTTTATAAAATCAGTGCTAAGTTCTTAGCCTAGACATCCAGATTTTTAGAAAAAACTTAAAATTGTATAACAATATTTACACTCCTCCAGTTGTGTTTTATGAGTTCGTCTTCAGTTTTTACCTTTGATATTCAGATTTTTGAAAAAAAAAAAACAAAACTGTATAGCCACATTTTACGATGTAAATCTGAAATTACAATACCGAGTGCTCTGGAATCTTACAAATGTGTTAAGGTAATCAGGAACATGATAAATTGTTCATCAAAATTTTAATAATAAAAAATTATGCGATTATGGTTTAAATATTTCAGATAATCATGACATGGAAACTTGAATTTACTGGAAGTATGGCTTTTATTATTAAACACTTCCCTTCTGGGATCAGTAGCAATTTTAGTTGCTGATATGTCTTTAACAATGGTTATGTAGTTTTATTATTAACAACGCAAAACACACAATAAAAATATTACAATAAAGTTGTACTAATAGTAAAATAGTACGTACATTCTTAATGTACCATGGACTAGAAATGTTAACAATTATATAACCTCAAATCTATCAGTTTCTAACATAATAATCGACACAATAGCATTCATTCTTCCGGACATTGGCATTTTGAAAAAATGATATTGTTTTTGGAATTTTAATGATGCTACCAAGAAAAACAAAGATTGTAAAAAAAATTGGTCGAAAGCTTCTTCCATAGAACTTCCCACGCACCTAAAGTACAGAGTGAAATATATCCAGCATTTTTGAGTTGAGTTTTTACTTTACAGAAATTAGTTTTATCTTAACAAATACTAGGCCCGCCCACCCGCCCCCTACTTTCCCAGAGCATATGTGATTTGCCGAAAGAAGTCTTATCTTAGCAAATACTAGCCCCGCCCACCCACCCTTTACTTTCTTTGAGGGTATGTCATTTGCCAGAATCAGTCTTATCTTCCTAGTACTAGCTCCGCCCACCCGCCCTCTATTTTCTCAGACGATATGTTATTTGCCAAAATAAGACTTATATTAGCAAGTACTAGAAACAACCACCCGCCCTTTATTTTCTCAGAGAGTAGTACTTGCTAGTACTTGCTAAGATAAGTCTTATTTTGGCAAATGACATATCCCCTGTAAAAATAGGGGCGGGTGGGCGGGGCTAGCACTTGCTCAGATAAGACTGATTTTGGCAAACGCCATACTCTCTCAGAAAATACAGGGCGGGTGGGCGGGGCTAGCTCTTGCTAAGATAAGAGTGATTTTGCCCCTACTAAACTTGTAAAAACTTGTTAAATTTAAAAGATGTTAAATTGCATATTTCCATAGTAACGAGTTAAATTCCTAAATCTGATTGGATATTTATTTTTTTTCAACTCAGTAATTAATTTTTCTCAGACATCGTGTATAAACAAATTTCCAAAACATTAATTATATATTAAAAATTAATCACAAGTATAGATTCATCATATTTGATAGGATATATTCAGCAATATTTTGAGGTGACGTCATCAATTTTTTAGGGGGGATGAGCACATACATTTTGATAAAAAATTTACCATGCTAATGATAACTTTAAAACATCTCTAAGATTTCAAAGGATTCGGTTTTGCAGTTTCTGATTAAATCAATAAAATAAATTTACGCATTCATTATTTTTCGTCAGATGACGTCATCAATTTTTTGGAGGGGATAAGCAAATATATTTTGATTAAAAATTTATTATGCTTACCATAAATTTAAAACATCTGCAAGATTTCAAAGCATTCAGTTTGCGAGATTCAAATTTAAATTGCAAATTGTTGTTTTATAATTTTGTTTTTTCCAAAAATCTGGAGTTTTGGGCAAAAACTCAACACAGAGTACATGTGTAGGACTATGTTATTTTATACAATTTAAAACCCATTTTCTATGTACCATTTTAAAATGACGTGATCACATTATTGGTGGCGATGATAAATTTTGGATAGCGTTTTACATGTTCTAATAAAAATCAGAACGGCAGACAGACGGACAGACAGGTAGATGGACAGACAGACGGACGGAATCGGGAGACTTATTTCTTTGTACTTTAGGGGTCATGAAAGATCGAGAAAACGTAAAAGTGGAGTCGGCCGACGGATTTGATTATAATACTTCCTTCGCTTACGTTCGGGAAGTAAAAATTGTGGAAGGATAGAACTTCCCTCGCTCTTGAAAAATGATCCGATAAATTCCCCTTTTTTTAAAATGTTAAAATCAGTTAAAAAATGTAGACATTCTCAATTTCGCAGTATATGCTTAACTTCAACTGTTTATGTTTATACTTGGACCGAATTCAACGACTACATGCACAAACATCAGCGAATAAAAGAAAATGAAATTTGGTTGATTTTGTGTCCTCAACGCAGAGGACTGGTACTCATAAATTTGAAGAAATTCGGCAAAAATGTAAGATGACAGACAAATTTCTACTAACAATTTACCATGTTTCAACTGATCTTAAAATATGCACGATTTCACAGCATTCGGTTGTTGTAGTTTCAAAGTAAAATCTTGTTATGCAATATCGATTTTTTTTTTTCAAAAATCTGGATGCTGACGGTAAAACGGTTTCATAAATCACATGTAGGAATATGTTATTTTATAAAATTTAAAGATCATTTGTGAGTACATTCGCTTTTGCAATTTTAAAGTTAATGTGTATTATACAATTTTGAATTTTTTCCCAAAAATCTCGATGTCTAGGGAAAAAACTCAACACGGAATCTAAATTACACGTACATGAAGCATGTAGTTCTATGCAATTTAAGAAACATTTGTTATACAAAATTATAAAATGACGTCAACATTTTTTAGAAGGCTATAAACGAAAAAAATTTTCATTAACGATTTACCATGCTTACGACAATCTTAAAAAAGTGTCCAAAGCATTCGGTTTTACAATTTCAAAGTTAAATTGAAAAATGCTAAAAAATTTTGATTTTTTTTCAAAAAAATCTTGATGTCTAGGGTGAAAACTTGACACGGATTCATGAATCATACATGCAATCTTATAAAGTTAAATATGTATATAATACCAAAAAGAACGGGACAGATTAGTAGTAGGTAAAGTGGTATCTTTCACCTTTTTTAATATATTATAAGGTGCTTTATAATTTTTTTTCACTAGCAGCCATAACGCATGCAAATGTCGACTCATGTAGAGGTAACAAATTCAACTTTTGCGACCACGGGTTCAAAAAGAAAAATTGAGGTTATGTACGCAATGTTTGATGTGATTATTTCTTAAAAAAAGAACAAATGTGTGCTACTAACATTACTTGAGTATACGCATGGTTGTTGGTAGACGGTAGAAGATAAAATGATTAATTCAGCGACAAGTATAAACGGTTTTCTTTGTCTTGAAGATTTAGATTAAGTTTGATTAGAATTCAAAACAAAATCATGTTGCGTCAAAAAATTGTTGTCTATGGTTTCTACTAGTGAAAAAAATAGTATATTAACCACGGTTGCAAAGCCACTTCTAGACCTCGCGCTTAAGAGCCCTCGACGCTGCGCGTCTCGGGTTCTAATTTGCGCTCAGTCTAGAATGTTTGGCCTTGCAACCTTGGCTAATAATATACTATTTTTAAACAGGCCAATTTTGACGTTGAAGTGCTTTTTTTATTTTTTTGTAAAAATCTCAAAGTTAGCAGTTTCTATATGGATCCTCTGGAATCAGGGCCAAGATCTTTAGAAATCCACAACTTTTTAAAAAACAAACTTAAAAATGGGGTGAAGTGTTAAAAAAATGCATAAAAAAGCGTCTCGACAAAAATTGACTTTTTTTTATAAAAAACTTCAACGTCAAAAAAAGAAACCAAACCCATTTTTTTCAATAATTGTTAGTTTTTGCTAATAACTCTACTAAGGTCTGTATCACTAATTTTCCAGAAATGCTCCTGTTAAAATCATTCGACGTATATTGAATTAATTTATGGTATATTTTAATTTTAATACAGACATTATTGTTTAAATAAATTGTACTACTAACAAATATTTAATATGACAGGGGTCTTGAAAATACGTTACTTTATCAGTATGAGGATTTTCAAGCAATTCTGTGGTTTAACACACAAAAAAGAGGAAAAAACAGAAAACAGTGAGGCTTTTTTTTACGATATTTATTTTCTCTGTCACATTTTTTTGGGTGATTGAAATGTTTTCAGGGACTTAGAACATGAAAAAAGTTACAGTTTGATGTAATAATAAACACATTTCCATTAATATCATTTTATCAAAAGTAAAAGTAAAAAAAATATAAACGCACTACATTCCAACAATAAATAATTCCAGCCCTCAGCTTGTTGAAATAGTAACTGGATATATTTACAGCAAATACCGTCCGTGCTGTAGCTTTGCATACATTAACTCATGTGCAAATAAAGGATCCAAAGTAAATTATGTCAACAACCACTGTACCGACACCGAGCTTTGTACAAAATGAATTCAGTATTTAAAACTCTCTTGTTGTGATTACACTGCAGTGAAACGTGTTATTTCTTTAAACGTCGCACCTCTTAAGCATCCTTTTATTTAATTCCAGAATTTAAATTTACTTTATCTGCTGCTCGTCAAAGAAAGCTTGTTACGCAAAGTGCATTAAAGCTCCTTAAACTACACGAAATGATTAAAATTCCGTTTTAAAAATTGCCCTACGATGCAGCACAGAATAGCTTCATTAAAAACTGAATTAATTCCAGACGAGGCAGATTTCTTAATTGGAACTTCTGATTTATGCGCGAACAAGTTCGAATAATTGTAAAACCGTTTCAGACTAACTAAAGGCTGTTTGTTTTAAATTTGAGCCTAATTTTGCGTTAATTTTACAAACGATTCAATGTGTTTCTATGTTGTGTCGGTGTTTAAATGTTCTATGCTAGTTAAAGTAACTTAAGCGAATTTGTGTCTTACCCTAAGCCTCTTGGGGGTGAGGATTTGTTTGCAAGTTATGGGGTAAATTATGGCGAAATACCTCTCGATGCATATGATAACAAGAATGAAGATGCTTGCCGTGTTGCTCAGTTGTTGGATGAACATGTACATTTTGCAAAGGAATTCCCCGAGCATCCAGCTGGAATAAAAGGAGTTAGGTTAAGTTCACAGTGAAGCTAGACATCGTGTAGTTTAATTTTAATTTACACTCGGAACGAAATCAAAAATTTAATAGCACGTTTGTTGTGGTCGTTCACCTCGACATTACTTTGAGGAAACGGAAAATGGCAACTTGGGAAAAATTAATTTTGCGTCCCGTCTGAACTTCAATAAAAGATGATTCGTCAAACATTCATTGTAAAAGCCGTTCATGTAGCTTTTCTCGTGTATTTGCTTCTTTAATTGAGGGTTATATTTAGCTACTTTTTCAAAGAAAAGACCCAATTCAGCAAAGTTCTTTGAAAATTAAATCCACAGCGACGGTGGTTGCCATTGTAATGTCGTGACGTAACGCTTTTAAAAGAAAATAACACAAAGAAACAAAATAAGACATAAAAGTCTTGCGAAATTAACATAATAAAGTAATGATTTTTGACGAAAAGATTGCGATTTATAAAGCAACAATTGTCAGAGCTAAATATTAGCACAGGGGTTAACTAAACCGCCATTTATCTCTAGCTATCTTGTCCCGTTTTTGTGAAAAAGGACACCATTTCCGTTCTTGTTCCAACAATCCTGAATGATTTGTGGCTCTAATAAAATCGCAATCATCTGAAATTATTATCTGGGTCTGTCCTTTAACGTGTGTTTTCACTTTATGTGTATCTCCCTTTAAACGAACAAAAACTTCCACAGAAAAAAAATGTCCGGCTTCTTTCTATAACGCGCCTGAATTTGTCAATGTTGAAGAAACCCAACAAATGTTATACTTCTGTATAAATAAAGGCAGTATTTAATGCCTCAGACGTAGCTCGATGTCAACTGCCGCAAATTTAACGAGCGACTTGAAAAAAATAGTTCTGGTGAATTGTGTAGCACAGATTTTCCTATATCCTGGAACTATTTTTTCTTCGCACATTAACCGCGATTTATGCATAAAATCACAAAAATATTTATTAGAACTCTGTTTAAAATTCGGATGTTCGCGTAATAACTTGTGTTTTATATAGTCACTGTGTGAATAAAGCTTGTAATTGATCACGCTTACCTGTCGACGAGGTAGATAAACAGATTTTGGTAGACGCAAAATATGCCGACGCAGAAGTCGGCAACAGCTAAATTGGCTAAGAAGAAGTTGGTGATGGATCGAAGTCGTCGACTTAACGTTACCACCAAAATAACCAGAAGATTCCCTGCAAAAAATCAAATCAACGTGAATGAAATGGTGAATGGGCTTATTTCGTTTATTAGTAAATAAACTTTCGTGTTTGAAGTTTTTTATTCCGGGCGTTTGGTGAAATCGCCGAGCTGAGGAAATTTTTAGCTTCATTAAGGAATGCGCTTTGAACATTTATAAATTGTGTAACAGGTGGTGAAGTAATGGATGATTACGGCAAATTGCGAAAGATCTTTTGATTAGAGTAGGTAGTAAAATGGAACATTATTCTTTATTTGTTTCCTTTCATCTTCGATGTTTTCATTTACACAGGCTCGGTTTGTTTATTTCGGCGAAAGAGAAATGATTGCGACATTTTTTCCGATATAGCGAAATTGACATTGGATTGACTAGAAGGATTAGATGATAAATAAGTAATTTTTGTGGTATCCTTGAACGTCTATATAAAGTGTTTTACGAACAATTCGTGACTCCGGTGTATATTTCAAGTTTCGCTTTCAGTGGCTCTTATTCTGATTGGACGCAACTTTCTATTAAAACGTTAAAAACTGTATCCACTTTTATATTAATTTTAGCGATCGCGATTTTTACTCCTTCGTGTCTGATGAATGTTGATCCAAAAATAACCTATTTCTTATCTTTGGAATACGATTATGGCAACGATTTATCGTCATTTTTTATCTTCATCTTGATTTATGTGATTTAATGCTGGGACGGAGATTTATGTTAGCAAATTTTTGGATTTAATGTTTTAAACATTTGTTCACAATGCTATTTTTTATTTGGAATTTATAGCACAGGCATGTGTGCAATTCGTGTTCAAAGCACTTGAAAACACGAATTTAAAAAATATTTGAAAGTTGCACTACAAAAAAGGGCGATAAATTTAAACGCTCTAACTTTATTTAGTATTCTCCTTGGAAAGGATCCTGTCCAAAGCTTTTTATGGACCATCAAGCTCATGTTTTATGTGTTTCAGAAACTTCCGCGATAGTTTTCAAGAGTATTGTGTTTCACAGATGTACTCGAACACTTCTATTGTGTCTAGTTGGTCGATAGAGCAAATCTGACACATAAAGCATCGTATAAAGGACCAGTGCTACAACTCGAGGAGTATTTCTGACTAGCTCGCTTATCTGAAAAGTGGGAAAATAAATAATCTGGGTTTACGTGGTGAGAAGATATATTTACATTACGTTTTTCTGTATGAGCCTGGAAAATTGCGAGACTTATTTTGAAAGCTTTAGCTTCACAAAGCTTAGTCAAGTTATTTTCGTAAGTTACGTCAATGGATAACCATGGTGCTAAATAAAATATTTCGTGTATTTTGATGCCTATTTTTCTGTGCTTTTGACATTTTCAACTTTGTGTGGGATTTAATTTAGTAAAGCAAGCAAGAAATTTATAAATTGTTATTTTAATTTAGCTTTCGGTAGTGTCCTCCCTTTTTGTATCAACGCAGATGATTTTTTATTAATCTGCTCTGACTATTTTAAATCATTAAAAAATTATGTGGAATTTTAGGCATATTTGTTGATAAACCTTCAAGCCTATAATTTTTTAATTTAAACTTAAAAGTGTGAATTTTACATATTAGTTTTCTAGTAAACTCCAGGTGTGTTTTCATTTCTATTTGATGTTGTGGATATATTTATTTTATCACATTTTACAAAACAAACAGCCATATGACCTATAATGTAAAAATAGAAAAAAGTTAAATATTAGGAGTATTATTTTTATGTTGATTGATTACGAAGATTGATTACTTTTGGCCTCATTTTAGATTAAAAAAATGCATTCCAAACTGAATATTTATAAAATTTGACTCCCCTATATTTTAGATGTAGTCAAAATTTTTCAATATACTTATAAAAATTTCGAAATTTTTCAGCCATCTTCGAAACTTAACTAAAGACAATTTAATGTGCATTTTGATCTCCAGAAGTAACCTTTGTGTTCATTTCTTTGATAATTCCAGAATTTTTCTAGAACAGTCCATTGAAGTATAACAGTATTTTGGACCTTATATTATATTTCATACTGCATGTTTCTAAAATTTTGCCTCGACGCTGTAAAAACGCTATATTTTTGGCAGAAGTACTTCAGAATTTTTTGAGGTTTTTTAAATAGTTTTTTTTTCACAACAAAAATTTTTCACTATCTGTAATGTAATGAAAGTTTCGGAATATTTTGATGCTTTTCGAAACTTAATTAAAGGCATTTTCTTGTACATTTCGATTTCCTGAAGTTGTTTCAGGCCTCCTTTCTTCGATGACGCCTACCATTTTTCCAGAATCGCACACTGAAATTGAATTGAATTCAATTTTCTATTTCGCATAAAAAATCATGCAAACCGAATATTTCTAAAATTTTGCTCATAGTCCATGAAAAGCTATATTTTTGCCATCAGTACGTTGAAATTTAGGAGCCAGACTTTTTTGAAAATTTTGATACAACTTTTTGAAATCCAAAATTCTTCCGACTGATAAACATTTGAGAATTTTTCAACCACCTTCGAAACTTAACTAAAGACATTTTATGGTACAATTTTATTTACAGAAGTTACTTTCGACCTGATCTCTTCGATAACTCCTACCATTTCTCCACAATCGCCCATTGAAATTGAATTGAATTTTTTATTCGATTGTTTTTCTAATTTCATCCAAACCGAATATTTCTAAAATTTTGCCTACAGTCCATAAAAACGCTATATTTTTGGAATCAGTACGTAGAAATTTATGTCCTAGAATTTTTGCAAATTTTGAGCCAACTTTTTCAAAACAAAAATTTTTCAAAATCTAAACTTACGAAAATTTTAGAATCTTCGAAACTTAACAAACACTTTGTACAATTTTATTTTCACAAGTTACTTTCGGTCTGATTTCTTCGATAACTTCTACTATTTTTCCAGAATCGCCCACAGAAATATAACAGTATTTTAGACTTTTTAAAAAAATCTCTAAGAATTTTTTGAAGATTTTTAGACTACTTTGTCAAACCAAAATTTTTCAACTCCTTATGAACATTTTGAAATTTTTCGATCACCTTTGAAATCTAAATAAAGATATTTTCTTGTATATTTCTCCTCCAGAAGTTACTTTTCTTTATTTCTTCGATATTTCTCACCATTTTTCTATAATCAGTAATCACCCATTGAAATATGACAGTTTTTTGATCTTTTTTTTTTAAATTGCATTTCATATTTCTAAAATCTTGCCCCGAGACAAAAAAAACACTATATTTTTGGAAGTAGTGTGTTGAAATTTATATCCTAGATTTTTTTCAAAATTTTCAAGCAACTTTTTCAAAACTAAAATTTTTTGATTTAAAAAATACATATGTAGGTATAGAAATTGTTTTGAAAATTTCGGAATTTTTCGACCATCTTCGATACTTCGATAACTCTTACCATTTTTCTAAGAATTGCCTATTGAAATATGACAGTATTTTGGATTTTTTTACAAATTGGATTCCTTACGGAATACTCCTAAAATTGTGTCTTGCGACTATAAAACGCTATATGTTTGGAATCAGTACATCGAAATTTATACCTTAGAATTGTTTCAAGATTTTTACAACCAAAATTTTCAGTATTCTTACGAAAATTTTGGAAATTATTGACCACCTTCGAAATATAACTAAAGACATTTGCTTGTGCATTTTGACCTCCAGAAGTTACTTTCGGCTTCATTTTTTCGATAACTCCTACTATTTTTCCAGAATCGCCCACTGAATTACGACAGTTTTTTTTTTTGTATTTTTTTGTTTTAAATTGCATTCCATACCGAATATTTCTAAAATTTTCTACCGACATAATCAAAATGCTATATTTTTGGAATCGCTACCTTGAAATTTGTGTCCCACAATTTTTTGAAAATTTGAAGACAACTTTTTCAAAACCAAAATTTTTCACTATTTAATCTTTACTTACATCGCACATTGAAATTGAATTTAATTTTGAATTTAGTTTTTTTTTTATTGCATTTCAATCCGAATATTTATAAAATTTTGAAATTTATATGTCAGATTTTGTTGAAAATTTTGAGACAACTTTTTGAAAAACAAGATTTTTCAATATCTGACCTTACGAAAATTTCGGAATTTTTTGAGCATCTTCGAAGCTTAATTAAAGACAGTTTTATTGTACAATTTGATATTCAAACGTTACTTGGGGCCTGATTTCATCTCTAACTCATACCATTTTTCCAGAATAGACCACTGAAATGTGACTGTAATTTTGACTTTTAAAAAATTGCATTTCAAACGGGATATTTCTAAAATCTTAACCTAGGACCATAGAAACGCTATATTTTTGGAATAAGCATAAGCAAATTTATATCCCAGAATTTTTAAAGATTTTCGGACAACTTTTTCAAAATCAAAATTTTTCAACACCTTATGAACATTTAGAAATTTTTCGATAACTAAAAATTCTTCTTTATATCAACCTCCAGAAATTACTTTTCTTTATTTCTTCGATATTTCCCAACATTTTTCTAGAATTAAAAAAAAGTACATTTCATACCGAATATCTCTAAAATCTTGCTCTGAGAAAAAAAACACTATATGTTTCGAATCAGCACCTCAAAATCTATATCCCAGAATTTTTTGAAAATTTTGAGTCAACTTTTTCAATTCCAAAATGTTTCAATATAAAAAATATCGAAATTATGAAAATTTCGAAATTTTCGAAACTTTACTGAAGACATTACTTTATGTATTTTGATCTACAGAAGCTATTTTTGGAGGGATTTCTTGGATGAAATCTTATCTTCCGACTATAAAACGCTATATTTTTGGAATAAGCTTGTAGAATATTAAATCCCACAACTTTTTGAAACTGTTTAGACAACTTTTTCAGCGAAATAACTAAATAATAACAATTATATGTAGAATAAAAACACAGACCATTATATCAAAAAATTTTGAAAAATACAGTTTCATATTTGCAATGCTCAAAATTATTTTCAATTTAAACAAGTTTTGTATTGCCTTGGATGAAAAATGTTAAGAAAA